AATTTAGATTTCAAGATGTACTGAGAGTAAAACCTGGATACCTTGCACCAACTACAATGTCACCATTATCCAACACACAGCAGCACCAGACAGACTGAGCTGGGAGTCTGATTGTTTGAGCACATTCCCCTTGTTTCCATATTCTAAGAGATCTGTCCTCTCCAGTAGTTACAAAATCTGCAAAGGAAAAAATAAAAAATCTTTTAAAGCATATTTTCATGTATTATGATACTAGATGCCTTTTTACAACTTAGTATCTAAAAATTAAAATTGCAAAAGAACTTTTCTACAATTCAATACTTCTCTCAATCACAAGAAGAGAGCTAAAAGAAAGCCACTGCAGAGCTATCTTCTCAAAAAAAAAAAAAAAAAAAGAAGTGCATGAATTGCAAACTGAGCAGCCAGACAGGGTATGAAATTGTCTGTGACAAAAGATCACCTCCTCCTTCAAATTGTTTAAACAAAGAACTTGGGAACTATCATTATTTTGTCTTACACCACTTCCAGAGTACCACAGTTCAGGAAACATGCATAAGGCATTCTCAAAAGCAGAGACCAAACTTCAGGCATCTCCTCTACGAGGGGTTTCAAGACAGAAGAGATTTATGATGTACACATGTCATACCTACACATTCACTTTACCCTCCGAACAAATGTGCAAGTCCATTTGTACGCATACACTACACAAAGGTCACTGACTTAGAATTTCTTCTGCAACAGCCAGTTCTGAACCTCCAAACCTCTAGCTCTAAAAACAAATGCATAAGGCATATAAAGAAAATCCCTGAACTAAACTATTTATAAACTACTTTTAAAATTTCGTGTGCAAGTACTGAAATTTGTATTACGTCAAACTGCTAAGCCACACAAACCATTTTAACACCCTGAAACAGTGCTGAAATACAAGTGGCAACCCAGATGGTATTTTGTCCATTTGTTTGCCAAAGTTTCACTTGAGCTTTATAATTAGGTTTAATCTAGGACCTTTCATCTCACCTCAAAGAGCAAGTCTGCCAGAGACATGATTTTCTGTCAATCACAGAAATTTCTTATTACTTACACAAAAGGAAAAAAAAAGAAAAAAGTGAATGAAACACTACCCGAGTTCTTTGGTTATGGCAGCTCCATTGAACTACTGAATGCCTCATCTGCCATTTTATTTTGGAACGATATGGGCTAAATCTCAAAAAATAAACTTACCTTTACAATGAGGGAAAACAGATATGCTGTATATATAATTTGTATGTCCATAATACACCTGCAGACACTTGCCAGAGATGTGCCACCTTCGGACACTAGCATCATTAGCACAGGAAAGGAATTCCATTTCACTGAGAATGGCTAACCCTCTCACACAATCTTCATGTCCTTTGTAAAAGAAAGGAAAACATTTAATGCAGCTTTTCTTTCCATTACCAGCAGCATACCATTTCACACACCTATATATACTGATAACTGATTTTCATTATGGAAGCACTCAAAAAAAAAAAAAAAAAAAGAAAGTCATTGCTTAATATCCTGTGGAAATAAGTACAATGCTTATAGAAGCAATGTGATTTCCAGGCAACCTGAGATACTTTAGAAATTCTGCCTAAAAATGGTTCAATTTACATAAGGCTTTGAGGTTTGTTTTTTTTTTGTTGTTGTTTTTTTAGATCTTGATGAAACTACTAACTGCAACAATATTTACCAGTGAATGTTCTTTCACATCTGCCTGCCTTCCACAGCTTTATGGTTTTGTCAGCTGAACCTGTCAACATTAATCCCTGTTCAGGCAGTATTTTCACAGCCCATATTGCAGCTGTGTGACCCTGAAAAAAGAAACATAAGGACAACAATATTGTTAGACTTGTAAAAGTCAGTATGTATTTTATATTCATGCAGAAGAACTTCATACCTGTAATGTCATCATACATCTGTCATGCAACCAGACTTTGGCTGTTGTATCCCATGATCCGCTTAATAATGTTCCAAATTTTCCAGATGAAAGGCTGCAAACTGGAATAAACATTCAGATCAACAATGACACGTCTCTTGCACTGTAGCAAATCTTATGCTAGCAATTTTAAATTAATTATTTAAGGACTTCTGCTTGGTATTAAAAGCATACCTAGCATTGAGGAGTTCAGGGAAAGATTAAGTGTAGAGGTACAGCAACCTAGAATGGAACCACTTAAAAATCTCCTCACTTAAGATGACAAAACCGCAAATCTTTTTACCATTCATATTCCATAATTTCTTTCAGTACCTGATCTCTTCTCAAGAGAAAATATGTTGACAAGCAGCACAGATAATCAAGAAAAAGTATTAATACAAGGATTTAGATTTAAGATTACCAACAAAGTCAAGATTTCATCAACATTATCAGGTTATGTCCTCACAGAACAAGACTTCATACCAAAAATACTTCACTCTTCTTCTTGGATGGCAAAATCATACCACCGAGAAACTGTACTAATATTTGAAGATTTACTTAACAGGGATATGATTTGCAAATGCTCTGCTAATGCAGAGCTATAAAACTGAAAAGGAATAGTGCTAATAAAGCACAATAAAAACTATACAAAGTAACAACAATAAAAACTATACAATGTATACAAAACTATATAAGCCATAAACAGAATTCACTGTCCATCTGAAAATTCAAAAAAGAAAGCATGGCCTTTTGTTTCTTGACTCTGTAATCTGATTTTCCTTTTTTTTTAATGTTTTGCATTACTGTAAGAATTGCCTCAAATACTTTCTTGTAACGGAATCCATACATACCTCATATAATGCCTCATCCCTTTTTGTACCTCTGGAGGGAACATGCCAACTATTCTTTTATCTACTCAATCATCCTAGGTTTCCTTTTATAGAGTGTAAATTATTCCATACCTTCTGACACACTGACATTATTCTGGTATCATTTTACCTTTTTCTCAGCGCAGATCAAGAGACTTATAATGCAGAGACAGAAATTTTTGGTGCTGTGTTACTTTCCATGTTACTTTCAAGCTGGTCTCAAGAGCCCTTCTTTAATATAGTAAAAGAGACCCAAAACCTTCCAGTCTTGAAGTGATTACTTCTGACACCCCATAACTAAGGGATGATGCTGTTCAAAGGTCTTTAATATACTAGATCAGCTCATGAAAAAATAAACTTAGCATGCTACTGTGAAAATTGCTCAACCTTTTATTTGATGGCTCAAGAAAAGTTATCGGTTTAATATGTTACACGCTGCACTGACCTGACTAAAGAGATGAAGTTTCTGCAGTGACCTTTTAGGCTTCACCACATATTTAAAGCACCAATTAATATGAGATCCCCATTTAGATAATGAAAAGGGCAGTGAACATTTTTTTATTTAGGAAGCTCGCTTCTTCTATTTCTGTGTATTTTTATATACATGTATATATCTTACTTCATAGAAGATGAAATTAACTGCTTCAACCCTTGACAACAGGGCCACCATTCTGTGAATTGCTGCAAATGCTCAAACACTGATCAGTGTTAACTCAGAAGTCATTGTGACAAGCTGTCACTGTGTGAAATGAAATTATAAAAAAAGCTATTTTACGCAAGCCATAATCAGAAAGTTAGGTACATTAAGTATCAAAAAATTACAATTGAGTTTTACAACTTCATTTCCTGTCTAATGAACCACATTAACGTTTATATAATAAACTCAAAAGAAATATTACTACATACCTGCATTCTTATGACCCTTAAGGACGTAAAGGGGAGCTGTGCTGTCAACTGTGAAAATGCAAATATTATGATCATTGCCACCAGTTGCAATCAGCCCACGAGGATAGAGGTCACTTGGAGGTATGATGCACACACAAGATACAAAATTTGAGTGGCCACGCATACAGTGCATTTCAGTAAAACCCCTGTTAAGACTAAACATATGCAATAATCAGTTGAGAGTCATGACAGAAAAAGCACTTATTTTGAGGCACGGAACTACAACGGGCATTTTATACTCCAGCTCTTGAATTAGTAACTATCCTTGCAGCGTGCTTACTCTGGAAGACCTAGAAAGAATGAAAACTTGGAGAAAAACTGCCCTCCAGCATTCCAGGCCAAAAACCAGTGTTTAAAGCTCTCCATGTATTTTTTTTTCCAGTCACAGAACCCTGGCATAACTTCATTTTGCTGCTTACTGCTCAGTTGCAAACACCGTGCCCCCAATTTCACAGGATCACAGCGCAGTTTGGGTTGGAAGGGACCTTAAAGGCCACCCAGTTCCAACCCCTTGCCGTGGGGGGGGGGGGGGGCCACCTCCCACCAGCCCAGCGTCCAGGCACCACCTCCAGGTACCATTATGCATTTAACCACAATTTCACCACACGCAGCTGCATTTGTGAGACCTGCCCCCACCCCCCCCTCCCCACGCACCCGTCGGGAGCCCAGAGCCGCGCCGTGCGGTCGCGGGAGACGGAGACGAAGCCGCCGTCGGGGAAGATGCCTCGGGCGAGGCCGCGCACGTCCTGCTGGTGGCCGGGCAGCGAGCAGCGCAGCCGGTAGGCGCCGCCGACGTCGCCCGCCATGGCCGTGAGACCGGCGGAGGCCCTGACGCAGCAGCTACCCGCCCGCCGCCACTGCCGGAACGCGCCGCGCTCCGCGCCGGAAGAGGAGCCCGCCCGCGGTGCCGGCGGCGGGGAGGAGCTGGAACTATAAGTCCCAGCAGGCAACGCGATGCGCGGAGGGTGGAAGAGGTTGCGCTGCCGCCGCGAGGCAGCATGGGAGTTGTAGTTTGATTGGGGGGGTGTTGGCGGTGTTGCTGGGAGACCCGTGGCGGTGCGCGACATGGCGGCGGCATGCTGAGGGGGACGGGGACAGCGGGGGCCAGGGGCCGGCCGTGCCCCAGGCGTCCCGCAGGGTGTTTGTTCAGCTATTGTGAGGGGGGAGAATTAAATCTTTAACGAGTCGGCCTCTGGTCGTCCCAAGCCAGCTTTCCACGTGAAAGGGCTGTTACCCTGCCCTCCAGGGAGGGGTCCCAAAGGCCACAAAATATGGCCAGTGGTCACAGGCCGCCCGTAGCTCGGCCCTCGTCGAGAGCAGGAATGGGGCTGGCAGCACGGCCGGCCTCTTCGTCACGGACTCCATCAGCAACCAGGATAGGAACAGGGGTATGTTTAAAAAAAAAAAAAAAAAAAAAAAAAGTTGAACGTCAACTTTGGTATCTTTTTTGGTGTCTTTTTGGTATCTAATCTCCATGACCGGAGAGAGATTTTCTCAGGAAGAGTTGAAAGATTTCCAGTCATAGAGAGTTTTGCTTTGTGATTTGGGCTGAGAGAGGTAAGGGCACTCTTCCATCAAGACTTCATCTGGGAGATCTTGGTACTGATGTCACCTACGGCGAACAAGGAACGCAGCAATCGCAGTCATCTCTTCCCTCAAGAGGTGATCTTGTACCTTTCTACAGCAGACATTTGTCTGAAGCTTTGTTTACGTGAACAGATGTAAATCTAAAAGCTTCCCGCTTGGAGAGTTTAGAGAGTGACTCAAGCTTTGGCAGTTACAGAAGGGTAGTAAAATCACAATTCAGCATTGGGATTTGTTTGTTTGTCTGTTTGTTTTCTTCTAGATGCCTCCTAGTACCTCAAGACCTGGTTCTCGTGGTGGTCCTTCAACTGCTAGCGGAATTTTATCATCTCAGATTAAAGTTGCAGACCGCCCAGTGACGCAACAAGGATTAAGTGGAATGAAAACTGGAATGAAAGGTATTTTTTGTTGAAAATAGCTATCAAAGTGTCTAAAAAAGTTCTGGAGAAATATTTATGGTTTAAAGGAAAACTTTTCATAGTTGTATAAATTGCAGGGTGAATAACTATGACTACAAAATGTAACAGAAAGGAAAGGAAGATGAATACATCCTCCCTCCTTTGTTTTTGGCCGTTAGAGATGAGAAAGGCTTTTCTGTGCCCACGCTTCCCATATGATTTTTATATCTATTTAAAAATCATTAGAATAGATTAGAATGCAACAGGATACATTTTATCTTCTTCCAGCACTACAGAATAATTAAAATACTTCGTTGCATTGTAAATATTCAAATAGCTAAAAAAATACTGTTTGTTTTCATAAAAGTCCAAAATGAATTTCTGCCTTCATTTGTTTTAACAAAGTAAAATCTACTGTCTCTGCTTGTAAAATCTGCATGTTGTTTTCCTGCTTTGCAGTTAATCAGAATGTGTTGCTTTTTAATGAACTGTCATCGTACTCTCCTTTGTCAGGTCCTCAGAGGCAGATAATGGATAAAACGTATTATCTTGGACTGCTGAGGTATGTCTTAAAAATACATTCAAATTGTGGAAGGCTTCATGCTCTGTTCCCTTTCTGGCATAAAGGTAGAGCTATTCTTAATAATAGCATGGGATGAGTGGTGTTCACTGTTAATGAAATCTGGTCTGTTATAACACATAAGAAGGTCATTTTGCAGGTAGTTTGTAGGAGAAGAGGAATTTTATGCTTATGTCCAAGTACAAGATTTCTTTGACATTTTGTTACTAGGCTTGCTAAGTTAAATGCACTCCTGCAGCGTTAGTTCCAGAAGCATCAGTGATTTTGAACTTCCACCTGTGGCATAGCTCCAACTGTAAGACATAGCATCCTGAACTAAGTACTTTTTCAGTGCGTGCTTCAGGTGGTTTGCTTGAATTATGCCTTGAGATGACAATGACAAAAACATGTGCTCCATTGTCAGTTGGCCACATTGCAGTATTGAATAGTCAATCCTAAAAGATGTTGTTCTATACAGGGATGATACAGCATCCTTCCACAGATTGTGGATGATTATTTTTTTCTGGTCCATCTGAGAAGGATTCACGTCTCTTTCACCAGAAGCAACAAAAAGCTAATTAAAACATTTTATTTCATGTCCAGGTTTTCTAATAATTTCACAAAATCACAGAATTGTCTAGATTGGAAGAGACCTCCAAGACCACCTAGTCCAACCTCTGACCTAACACTAACAAGTCTTCCACTAAACCATATCCCTAAGCTCTACATCTAAACGTCTTTTAAAGACCTCCAGGAATGGTGACTCCACCACTTCCCTGGGCAGCCTGTTCCAATGCCTCACAACCCTCTCAGTAAAGAAGTTCTTCCTAACATCCAACCTAAAACTCCCCTGGCACAACTTTAGCCCATTCCCCCTCATCCTGTCACCAGGCACGTGGGAGAACAGACCAACCCCCACCTTGCTACAGCCTCCTTTAAGGTATCTGTAGAGAGCGATAAGGTCGCGCCTGAGCCTCCTCTTCTCCAGGCTGAACAAGCCCAGCTCCCTCAGCCGCTCCTCGTAGGACTTGTTCTCCAGGCCCCTCCCCAGCTTCGTTGCCCTTCTCTGGACTCGCTCGAGCACCTCGATGTCCTTCTTGTAGCGAGGGGCCCAAATCTGAACACAGTATTCGAGGTACGGCCTCACCAGAGCCGAGTACAGGGGGACAATCACTTCCCTAGCCCTGCTGGTCACAATGCTTATACGAGCCAGGATGCTGTTGGCATTCTTGGCCACCAGAGCACACTGCTGGCTCATATTCAGCCAACTATTAACCAATAGGCCCAGGTCCTTCTCTTCCAGGCAGCTATTCTTACAATTTTATGTGATAGAACCACTTTATTTTTTCCCCTCATTTCTCTAGCTTTTCTCAGAAATAGTTGTTAGAAATTTGGTACTCTGTGATAAAGAGATACTTATTGCACATCACTTAGAGTAAAATGCTGTTTCTGTTTTAGCTGTGTTTTAGCTGTATATTTAAGTTTGAGTAAATCTTTTGTTTATTTTTGCAGGAGCAAAACAAATGAACTCACAACAGAAATTAACAAGCTGCAGGAAGAAGTAGAAATGTACAAGCAGGAGAAATCAGTCTATTTGTCGTATGAAAAAAGGTGAGCTGTGTCGCAGCTAATACGAAGTTAGCTTTCTCAGCCACAAGACTTTGTTCTAGGCTGTTTTCACGTTTCACAGCCTTCAGGAAATCATTACATAATTATTTTTTTTTGTTATTTCATTTTTATTATATGATGCTTCCTGTCTTAATTTTGGCTTCTTGTTTTGTGTTTAGGGCAGAGGCTCTAGCTGGTGAAATCAAAGAATTTCAAGGTCAGCTAGCAGACTACAACATGGTATGCTGCTATCAGCTTCTGATACTGAACACTCCCTTGTCTCCTTCTCTTCATCCTGTTTTTGCTTAAATTCAACATCTTTTTTATTGATGTTCCTGTTTAAAAGTTTACTGGTTAGTACTGTGTTTATTCAGTTACTGGGAAAGAAAAAATGGGAACTAAAGAAAACAAGAAAGATAGGAGAAGCAGTTGCATTTAAGAAATGACTGCTGCATATTGTTTGTGGGTTTGTACGGCTACATATGAGAATTACTTCTGAAAACTATGTGTAATCTATGCAGATTCACAAATCATTTTTTTTTCCTTTTGCAATAATAGATATCTGTTGTGTTTTTATGAGTGTTTTGCAAGTTGCTCCTTTTCTCTGTGTGTATAATTACAAAACAACGAAGAGTGCCAACAGGTTGGAATTCTATCTCATTTCAGGTTGTGGATATACTTAACACCAATACAGATGTGGCGGAATTGATTCATGATTACAATATGGTAAGAATTAGGGTGCTTGCTACATTTTAATAATGAAATGGCATATATTAAATTTTTGATACTTTGAACATGACATATATAAAAAAACAAATCACTCATTTAAAACTTACACATTTTTTTCCAGTTAAATTGCCCATAGTACTTGACAGTGTTCTTTGTAGTGAGACGGCTATCTAAAGCATTGTCTTCAAAACCACATGACAATGCTTCTGTGTATTAGGTCTGAGAAGGCTGTGTTCCCACCTCAAATTTCAAGTGTTCAAATACATTATTTATGTGACTAAGCATAGAATGCTAGTCTTATGAAAGGCAAGTTCACTGGACTGCACTGCCTTTAAAGCTGCCTGATCCTCTGGAAATTTATTTACTTCTCTTTTCCTTCTGCCTTCTAAATGCCTCCAGCATAATAAACATGAACTAGGTCTGCAACATGGACAACCACAAAATGAATCAGCTTTGTTCTTCTTTAGTTTTCTTTATTTTCCAAGATAGTGAGAGTTTTCATGCAAGCATTAAGGCTATAGATGTATTAAGCACTTTCCATTTCTTGTGATCACGTTGTCCTTTAGCAAAAGCAGCTAGTCTTAGAAAAGGTTAGTTTGGTAGCTTGAAAAACCACCTGAGTATTTCTTGGCCATTTATTTTTCTCCTTTATTGAAAAATAAAGTCTCATAATCCGCATCATAAAGAATGCTCTTTAAAGTATTATATTTGCATTCTGTCTGTAGGCTTAAGCAGTTAATTGCTAATAGATAGTAATACTGATTGAATTGATTTGTTACAAACTTGATAGCATTTCTTTTTCAAACAGAGAGAGAGATGTCTTCTTACTTCCATAGGTTTCCAGTGGAAGACTGCAATTTTAGAAGCTGTTTCTTCAGTACAGCCTGGGAACATCTCTGGAGCAGGAGACATCTGCTGCTTCTTTCTGTACTGCATCCTTAGCAGCTTCTTGATACCTTAAAGGAAACTTTGCCCTTGTGTATAAGTATTTTTTTATTATGTATTATATCAAAATACATTTATTTTTTATTTTTTTTTAAAGTTAAAGGTTCAGAATGACCGAGATGCTCAGAGTGTGGATAAAATCTTCACCGAAAGACAAGCGTAAGTACATAATATATATGCTTCTCAAAAGCTGTTAAAATCATACATGAACTTGGTAAAATTGAGAGGTTATCTGATTAAGAAATTGTTAACAGTACAATCCATACAACAAGAGACATCCCCAAACAATTTCAAGATCCTGTACCAGTATCAGGATGAAGCTGGGGTTCCTGGCTTTAAACTATTCTGAGTAACTGCTGTGGAGATACTTACTATTTCACTCAGGAGGAGCTAGGTGGCAGTGACGTCTTCTGGCTTGTGAAGACTTACTTTTAAGGTCCCGGATTTTGGAGCTTATGTTTCAGTAGCAGAGTGGAGAAAGTAAGCAGAAGTGGGGGCTAGAACTAAGATTCCTGTCTAGTAAAGTAAGGATGTGTGGAAATGAAGATGAAATCAGCGAGATGCTTGTAGTGAGAGTTTGAAAGCCATGAAAACGGATTGTGTACTGATAAGCTGAGAGGCTGAGTTTGAGATGTTTAATTTGGGGACAGCAGATGTAAGAAGTAGGTCTGATCCTACTGGGCGCCAGGAAGAACAATAACGTTTTATGTGTAAATAAATACTTTTCAAAATACCAATTTCCATTTAATATGCACTTTTCACTAATCCTGTGGTTTTCAATAGCTTGTAAATATGTCTGTTCTACCCCTAAATGCATTTTTAAGTGTTAACAAAATGTGCAGAGAAGAGACTTGGTTCAGTATCAAACTAAGGCATAAAGGCATGGTTTGGTGGATAATACTGGTGCTAGCAGGATGGTTGGACCAGATGATCTTTTCCAACCTTAGTGATTCTATGATTCTATATGCAATAATTATATTTATCATTTTACTGTATGTAGACACATTTAAGGGTGTGGAGAAATCAGTCTTTGTTACTCTGCTAATTCAGGTTTAAAAAAAAAAAAAAGCAACTCTATTCTCTGATAGATACTCATTTTGACTAATAAACTACTGAGCTTTGACATTGTTGATTCGGATTCAGTCCCCGGTCTGACTGTGGTCTGCTTCTTCAGTGCTTTAAATAAATATTTTTTCATCTCTGTCTTCTTCACCTCTTGAACGTCAGTAATTACGGCAGCTTCACAAGCTGCTTTTTAAACATTTGGTCGTGTTAAGCAGTGTACAGTATGCTTTTTATCCCCAGTAAATAGTAACATGATCAGTGATCTTTCATGTTTTGAAATACTTATTTCATGATTCATGAAGCAATAGCTTGTTTCAGACTTGATGAGATGAAAGGAGATGGACTGCTTAGGTTCCATTTGTATTGTACCTAAGTAGCATAACATGGAAGGCTAAGTAAATGGAGCAAGTATACTACGGGTTTGAAAAGTCAGTCATCATCCACCATATAGGATATCAGCTCTCCTCAGTTATATATGAATCTATGTATTTATCCTCAATAAATCCATCTTCGCCGTGCTCAAATTCAGTAGTTTTCTCAAATATTACTATGGGATCTTCATTGCTTGTATCTGATACTGCAGGAAAAGAATTCATGTCAGCTGAGAACTCCTGTTCAGTTATCTCTGGGTCGTTTTCTTCCAGACGACGGTGACTGTAGCTGATCAAATAGTGATACCATGTTGGGCATTTTATAGCAGTAAAAATCAGGAATGTAGTGCTTAGGACAAACCCTAGGACTCCCACGAGGAAGGTCCAACTTTTGCCAAGGAGTGGAAGCTCTTGAAAACAGATAGAAGAAAAAAAAAAAAAAAAGAACAGTCACCTTTATGTGTAATATCTGAAAGAACTTTGTCATTAATTTATGAATAGTTAGATTGAGAACTCAGAAAATAAAAGATTATATGGGAATAAATGTCTCCGAAGTGTTAGTTTCTGCTGTTACTGGAGAGCTAGTAAAATAAAAATGCACATACATCTCACATTTGATAGCAATGTAAACCCACCATGCATATTTATTAAAATTAAACAATTGTTTAAAAGTCATCTGAAGTTCTGGAGGTGTAGATAAAATATTTTATTTTTTTTTTCAAAAATAATTCCAGGACTGGCTTTGAGAATGGAAAAAAAAAATCAGTAATTGACATTAAATTATATTTCCCAGGCTTAAATTTCTACATGGTGGTGATGTCTGTATCCTGAAATACCACATTGTTTGTGTGTAATCCGTTCAGTTACATTTCTTTTATGTATTATGTATTTATGTATTATTTATTTCTTGTAAATTTCAATAGACTGTAGGTACTAGTAGTCTTTATATACAAGTTAACTTTGTGTGCTGGCCACTGTCACACAATAGATGTCACACTGTAGATGCTGGCTACAGCAAAAGAAGTCAGTGGCAGTGGTGGCTTACGATTTGTGTGTGAACCAGAAGATGGATATTCCTGCTTTAGCCAAAAGCAGGAAGTGGAGTATTTCGTTATGGGAAAGTGGAGAACATTAATTCGGATGGAAGAAAAAGAGAAATTTGATTTTTACCAGAAGGAAACGTAAAATCTTACCAAACAATGTTGTAACTAGCATCAAAAAAAATAATGTAAGGAGGCTATTACTGAATTTTTAAAAGAATATGGGATATGCACAGCTGTGTCCCTTACACTGAACACAGTTGAGAGCTGGATAAAAATTAATACACTCAATCTTTTACTTTTTAAGAAGACTACATCTTGTGAGCAGTTAGTTTGGAATAATTATTTACTTATTTATTTTTATGCAGACATCTGGAGAATTTCAAGCCCTAGAAATTTTCACACCTTAGTTTTTAGTGTCGTTTAAGGTGTGGTTTATCTGTTTTGCAGCCTTACTTAGTAGAGCATAACATTCACTGCAGCATGTTACATGGTCTAACAAAATCTGAAAGTACACTTGTTCCATAGCCCTGACTTTTACGGAAGAATTACAGTACATATGCAAAAGCATATGAAATCATGGATCAGCAAATAAAACATTGCAAGCAGTGAAGGGAAGCGTCATTATATTACCTGCATGTGTTCCGTTGTTTTCAGTGATGTTGTTTGGAGTTGGAGCTGCTAGGAAGGCTGTGCTTCTGCGGTTAATGGCAGAATTGGAAGTTATACTGGTTTCTAAAGAAGCTTTTTCAGTTTCACAGTCAGCTAGTTGTATAGTTGCAGCCCTGATGGACAATTTTTCCTTTGTTTTGGGGAATGTGCATGTAGTGTTGTTTTCATTTTCTGTGAATGAGCAATGGAGAGCCTATTAGATACCATTAATTGACAGTTTTATCTAAAAAAAAAATCACCGATAACTAATTTATTACTGAAAAATACATAATACGTGGTGGATATTATTCACATCAGGAAAAGCTAAGACAAGATGCAAACAGATATGAAATGCTGCTCTTAGCAGAACTTACCCATTGTCACATTGGAAGCAGTTAGACATATCTGTAAATCAAGGAGGTCACAGGAGCAGTTCCATGGGTTTCCAGCTAAGGTAATTGTAGCCAATTTAAAAGATGATTTTATATGAAAAGATTTCAAAAAGTTATTTTGTAGATTCAAAACTCTGAGACTTTTTAGAGAAGAAAATACATCTGAATCTAATTGAGTAATCCTGTTATAGGACAGATTCAACACTGACAGTTGATTTAGTCCTGCAAATGCTGCTGGATGAACTATGCTAATAAGATTGTTGCTGATATCCAGAATTATAAGTTTTGTCAAATTGTAGAAGCTGTTATTACACAGTACAGTAATCATGTTTTCATTCAGATAAAGTTCAGTGAGGTTAGTAAGCCTCTGAAGAATATCTTTGCCATTGTCTTTTAAAGTGATTTTATTATTTTTGAGGCTTAATATGGTAACATTTGGCAAAAGATCAGTGGGGATACGAGAGAGGTTCTTTCCAGAGTCCTCACAAATGACCTGTTGAAAAAAAGAGAATGTCAACAATTAAAATAGTGTAAGGACATCTTGTGATGGAGTCCCAGTTATGACTTTTAAGGGAATAAAAAAAATCTATTTAATGTCAGCCCTTTACAAGAAAAAATCTGCTGGCCTTCCTGCCTTTTTGTTTATGATGTTCTTAATATGCTTGTCGATTAGTGATACAGGGGAATGAATCATCCGATTGTGTAGAGACCTGAAGTGCCAGTAAACTTAGTGCTTAAACTCTGTTATAGTTGCAATGCTTATGTGAATAATACCTGGAATATAACCAGTCTGACATGGTGTTTTGGAGGTAATAGGGCTGTCCATTTTGGAATTCTAATGAAGTCTGACAGAGTAGGAAAAGGATTCTTTTGCCACAAAATAGAGAAGCCACCAAGTGAAGTTGTCATAGAGAAAATGGACTCAAGCCTGACAATTAATTTATGTGTGTTTTTTCAAACGGATTGAGTTGCTTTAAAGTAGCTGTGTTTGCTATTGAAAACATCTTTGGAGCAGACCTTCAACCGGATTGACTACATATGTAATTATAAATGTGGCATTTAAATTCATTTTGGTTTTCTGAGTTGAAGTTTAGCATAGCTGTAGACTTCTCAGGTTTGAGAGTGTTTATATTCTTAATACCTGGAAACATTTTTCTTTTCTGAAAAGATTAGATTTCCATATAGGTTTATGTATGCATCACTGCAGCTTACCGTTTGTTGTCAAGGTAATTTAACTTGCTTTAAAGGAGATTGTATGCACTGAAAACAGGTTGGTTTATTGTTCCGCTTGCTAGGGGAGTAGCCTATGCTCAAGTCGTTACTGCTGTTATCAGGCTGAGTCTAGGTAGCTTATTTTAAAACAAATTAGGTGTAGTGTCTGCATATACTTTTTTTCTTCATGTTTGTCCCAGCCATGAAACAGTAAATACAGTACTGGACCAGTAGACAGTGAGTAAGAGCAAACAGTTCAATAACATTTTTTTGCCAGACTCCTAATCCCCCTATATATAAATACAAAATCCATTAAACTATTCTCTAAAAGGATATTTCAAAATATCTTGTACACATTTGGACCTGACTTGGGCAAGTGCTAACTGAAAAAATCTCTCAAAACAATCTCTCAACAAGTGGTTGGCCTT